TAATAAATGATGGTTAGGTGGTGTTGGTTTAGATCGTTTAACAGCAAGTGTAATATTTGAAGCTCTATCATATGGAGATGTAACAACAACAGCCTATTTAACAATTTAAAATATGTGTGCTTATATGGTGGATTAATTTGGTAATGAAGAATAAAAATAAACATGGATACCTAGATTTGGAAAATTTGATGCATTTGCATCATATTGCTTAACAGAACCAAATAGTGGTAATGATAGTAAGAATATGAAGAAAAAAAAGTATAATATAATTAATAATTTAGGATGGAAATGATTATGTAATAAATGGATCTCAATTTTTTATTTCTGGAGATTTAGTTAGTGATGTTTATTTATTATTCAAATTAATAAAAATAAACATTAGAGAATAGTTCATTTAGAACGTAATTATTGTATTGTAATTAAAATAAATTTATTTCAGAACTTGTCTCTTTAATTTGTTTAAGTTAATCCTTAAATTAAAATTTAAATAATCTCATTGATTAAGATTTATAAAAAATTATATATTAGATACTATAGTTAGTCAGAATTGCAAATCTAATTTTATCTCCTTTTAATAAAAGTAATAAAATATAACATATATTATTAGGTAAGTAATAAAATTCTACTTATTTTTTACCATAGCAAGGTTATTTAATTAGAATTGTAAAAAAAAATAAAAGATCTGAATCTTGGAATCATGAGATTTTTAGATCTAAGGATTAATCCATTCACAATGAGGTTTCTAATCAATCTTCTTTTAACTCATCTTCAGATTGCAATAGCAAGTTCTTTCTGATTAAATTAACAATGGAAGATATACGCAATATAAGAAAGATTAACCATTTCAAAAAAGAAGTAATTTTCAACTATTTTAAAGACTTTGAGGTTGTATATACAGGATCTTTCTAAGTAGAATATAGAACTGCGTTAACTTTATTAAATCTAAATTTGATTGTATTTTTTTGAATGAAATTAAAGATGAAAAAAATATTCCAATCAATAGTAAGAGTTAAAAAATTGAAAATTTGCAATTATTTTATGTTATTATATTTCTTGATTATTCATAATAGAGGTATAAAATGAATGAAATATTTCTAAATATTTTATTTAATAACTTTTTATTTTAACTTATAAAAAAGGAATGTGAAAAAATTGAATAATGTAACAATTTAAAAAGTTTGTTTAAAGTATTCGCTCTAGATTAACATAGAATATAATAGCGATTTTGTTACTAATACTTTGATTTATAATTTGGTTATGGAATATTTAAGATCTTTAGCTTATTTATCAGGAACTTTGTTAGCAGAACATCAAACGCATCTTTATGTATCTTTAATACTGGTAATTTATGTTTTTTTAAAGCACTGTTTTTAGTAGAAAATTAATCTCTTTTTATCTTCTAACTATAAAAAAGTTTTATGATTTATACTAAAAAGCTAATTTCCTTAATTTAGACTATTATCATTATCTATAATATATTTCTTAAGGATATTAGATGTGATTAAGACATTTAAATAATATAAATAATAAACCATAATTTTAAAAAGTCTATGTTTTATTATTTTATTCTTCTAATAATTAAATTTATCGATATCCTCTTTTATACTAATTTTAATTTAATATCTAATAAATAAATTCAAAATTTCTTTTATCATTCTGACAAAATTTTACAGATGCTGTTCTTTGTACTCATTTATTTTTCATTTTCTAGAATTAGATAAGATCGCTTAATAAATATTATTTTTTAAACTCGAAATTTTGAATTTATTGATATCACAAAAAGAATAAATATTCAAAATATTAAAATTTAAAAAATTTTAATTTGAATTTCAAACCAAATATTTTTTCTTACTGTTATTTCAAATTGAAATCTATTTCATATAAGATTTTTGGTGCTTTGTTTCAAATTCAATCAACTATATTTTTAACTGAAAATTAGTTGGACTATGTTAAATATAATAATTAAGTGATATAAAATCTTCTTCAAATTAGAATTTGTTACTTTTAAATCTCTTTCTATAAATAGATTGAGGACCAATAAATTTGATCAATCCATAAACTCTCTTTTTTAAATGAGTAATTTATTTGAAAATTCATTGATTGGGCTTGTTAAAATTTACCATTTACAATTTACTAGATAAGCTGGTATAATTTTTTTTAAGATTGGGATATTGAAGATATGGAGGATTTTCTTTTATATTTTCAAAGTAATCTTGAGAGAAGCTCTAAAAGACTATTTATTACCCATCATCGTATCGCTGTTATGTATTCCAAATCAACTCTTTCCCTACACTTATTAGCAAATTCAATTTACTCACCTAAATATATTGTAAATTGAAATAAAGTCAATTATGGACAGTATGATGATTTATGCATTCAATATTCTTTTAAAACATTTAATGTAAAAGTGTTTGGCATCTAATCGAAATCTTTTAAATAGCATTGACTTAATTAATAATAATACAAAAGATATTTTTTGATTCATGGTATAAAACTGAAAATATAATAATATAAATTCAATATAAAATAAATAAATAATGTAACTAGACCAGAAATTTAAGGTAATTCAAAAGAGAATGACTTTTAAATCCATGGTTTCTCAAACCCAAATTATGCTCAAGACGATTTGGGATAATTTATCAGAATCAATTAATTAAATATTCGATTGGATTGAAAAAGTTGATGCTGAGAAAATTGAATATATGATGAAGATGGAAAAAATGAAAAATTGGTGGGAGATTGAAATTAAGTCTTTTATAGAAAAATCGAATGAAGGAATTAAATAGATTTAGTAATTCATTAAGTAAATATTTATCATAAATAAAAGTAGGGAACTAGCTCATGAACCAAAAAAAGATCTGCCAGAGATTCTAGCTTAGGTGAAAAACATTGAAATATCAATATTTAGTAGGATTATTGAGATGTGTAAAAAAGAAAAGATTTCTAATTCTTTAGGATTTCTTTCAGAATACAATACACAAAAACTCTTTGAACAATAAAGTAATCAAGTAAAGTATTCAAATGATAGTTTAAATTAAATAGAAGTTATTTCAGAGATTCTCAAAACCATTCATGAACATGAATTTAATAACAAGGATTATTTTAAAGAATATTATTTATAAACTATAGATCTCATAAAAAAAATATTTGATGAGCAGAATATCATAAATTTCTTAATATTTTTAGTTAACTTAACAGCTATAGATAACACATTTATTTAAAGTGGATCTATTTCACTAAACATATTAGTAAAGATGAAAGTTGATTTGTCGAATAAATGCTTTGAAAACATCAAAATTTAAAATACCTCTTTGATTGGTGGTAATTTTGTCAAATGCAATTTGAGTAGATCTGAATTCAACAATGTAGACATAAGCGGAATAAATTTGAATGGAGCTCTACTCTTTGATTGTAAATGGAAAAACTTGAAAATACAAGAATTGAATGAATTTAATGGTCATACATGTACTGTGCGATCTGTATGCTTCTCACCTGATGGAACTACTTTAGCATCTGGTAGTGAAGATAAGTCTATTCGGTTATGGGATGTTAGGACAGGAGAACAAAAAGACAAATTGGATGGTCACAGCGATTATGTAAGATCAGTATGCTTCTCACCTGATGGGACTATCTTAGCATCAGGTAGTGAGGATAGGTCTATTTATTTATGGAATATTAAGACAAGAGAATAAATAGTAAAATTGGATGGTCATACTAACTTTGTCTAATCTTTATGTTTTTCACCTGATGGAACAACCTTAGCATCAGGAAGTTATGATAAGTCTATTCGTTTGTGGGATGTCAAAACAGGAAAATAACAAACCATAGAAGATTGTCATACTCATTATGTCCTATCAGTCTGCTTCTCACCTGATGGAAGTACCTTAGCATCTGGAAGTTACGATAAGTCTATCCGTTTATGGGATGTTAAGACAAGATAAGAAAAAGCAAAATTGGATGGTCATAGTAATTCAGTTTGGTCTGTTTGCTTCTCACCTGATGGAACTTCCCTTGCATCTGGTAGTGTTGATAACTCTATCCGTTTATGGGATGTTAAAACTGGATAATAAAAGGCTAAATTGGATGGCCATACTAGTGGTGTTCTATCAGTATGCTTCGCATGTGATGGAACTACCTTAGCATCAGGAAGTAGTGATAAGACTATTCGTTTATGGGATGCTAAAACAGAATAATAAAAAGAAAAAATGAAAGGTCATGGTGGTGGAGTTAAATCAGTATGCATCTCACCTGATGGAACTGTCTTAGCATCTGGTAGTGAGGATAAGTCTATTTGTTTATGGAATATTAAGACTGGATAATAAAAATTCTAATTGGATGGCCATAAAAGTGATGTCCTATCAGTCTGTTTCTCATCAGATGGAAGCACCTTAGCATCTGGAAGTTATGATAAGTCTATTCGTTTATGGGATATTAATACTGGATAATAAAAGGCTAAATTGGATGGCCATACTAGTGGTGTTCTATCAGTATGCTTCGCATGTGATGGAACTACCTTAGCATCAGGAAGTTAAGATAAATCTATCTGTTTATGGGATGCTAAAACTGGATTATAAAAAGTCAAATTGGATGGTCATAATAGTAGTGTCCTATCAATATGCTTCTCACCTGATGGAACTACACTAGCATCTGGAAGTTACGATAATTCTATCCGTTTATGGGATGCTAACTCTGGATAATAAAAAGCTAAATTGGAGGGCCATACTAATGGTGTTCTATCGGTATGCTTTTCACTCGATGGAACTACACTAGCATCTGGAAGTTATGATAAGTCTATCCGTTTATGGGATATTAATACTGGATAATAAAAGGCTTAATTGGATGGTCATACTGGTGGCGTTCTATCAGTATGCTTCTCACCTGATGGAGCAAACTTAGCATCTGGTAGTTACGATAAGTCTATCCGTTTATGGGATGCCAAGAAAGGGTAATAGAAAACTAATTTAGATGGTCATACTCATTAAGTCCAATCAGTATGCTTCTCGCCTGATGGAATGATATTAGCATCTGGAAGTTAAGATAAGTCTATCCGTTTATGGAATGCTAAGACAGATTTAAAAATAGAACCCTAGAATAAGTTTTATGAAGATGTTCTAAAATCATTTTAAAGTTCTGTAATTTAAAATAATCCTCTTTAAGATGATGGTATTTATTTAAATTAATTTTAGTTTAACCAAATTATTTTATTCTTTTGATATCTTAAGAGATAATACTACAAGCGCAGAGAACTATAATTTTAAATGGAGAATTTGTTAATTATTAAGGTATAGATTTACGATCATTATTAAAATGTAAAGGGAGTATTTTTTTTGAATCTTAACAGATAAATTAATGATAGTATTAAATTTTATTATTAGAAATGTTAATTATATTTGAGTTATTTATTAATTTGTCATTTCTATTGTAATTTTTACATTTTTGTAAAGGGGCTAGAAAGACCTAAAACTAAAACAAAATGCTCAGGTCATAAACACTGAACATCTGAGCAATAGAAATTGTATTACATATCTGCTGCTTACAATCAATTCCTATTGTTGAAAATATTTCAGCACATTTAATATTAATTTCTTAATAATTACTCTAAGGATCATTAAAACAGATTTAGCTCTGTTTTTTACTTATTTTTTCAATCAGCTTTCAACATAATCTTCATTGCTAAAACTAAATTCAAATTATCTTTTAGTTCAAAAAATCTTTTTTATTTAGCATTTTGCTATAAATTCATAGTATGATAAAACTTTATTCACAAAATCAAAATAATTGTTATAAATCTTATTTTTATAATTTCATTTCCATTAACTTTAATTTTGGTAATTCAAGTTTAATAAAGCAATTCTGAGCAAAAATTTAATTAATAATTAAGAAAATTTTTAAAATAATCATTATTTTATGAGCAATTATTTAGAATTTTAACACTGGTTTAAAAGATATATCATATTAATTAATAATTATTTTTAGCAGGCAAAAAATAAAAAATAAATAAGAAATGTTAATCACCAAGAATAATTTAGATCTTAGTTTTTCTTGAAAACCATAATTACAATTTGAAATTTTATACCCTTATTTAGAGCAAATATCACTAATATATTTATCATTTTCAGCAATCATTTAGCGATAAATAAATTTACAAAATGCTAAATTAAAATTTCGGCTCAACATAAATTATTATTCCAGTTATCAATCGCTTTATTTAAGCTATGTATGAACTATACCCAGTTCTAAACTGCCAAAATTGGATCTAATTTGGAACTTGATAAAAGTAACTTTAAAATTTCCTATTTATCAATCTTATTTAATAAGTCTTTGCTTTTGAAATACTATTAGAAGAAAAATATGAATTATCTAAATTGATACTTCAAAAGTTGGAAGTGTTTATTTATTAAGATTTGTGCAGTATATAATTATTCTATAAATTATGGATTTTCTAATATACTATATTTTGAGTACTTAAATTATCGTTTATGTCACTCCAATTAATTCTACTTGAAATTATTTCTTAGTATTACATGATTAATAAAAATAAAACAAGTTTCAATTTTAACTCTTACCTAATATATTTTAGAAGTCTTAGAACGACAAAAAATATATCAATTTCCTCTTCTTAATAATTTTTACCTATGTCTTTAGGATATACTTTCAAATCTATAACCTCAAGGAACTAATTAAAAATCTCCTTTTTAAATTAATTTTTATTTTCTTAACAAATCCAAACTTCCAAATATTTATTTTTCTGTGTCATTCTATTCCAACAAACGAAAGAAAACACTGAATCCTATTCTATTCTAAACTTTTATTATGATATTTATAAATGTTTGCATTTTTATTTGGGTAACAATAATCTTTTTCTGAAAATGAGAATTTGATGAAGATTTCAATATTACTTGATAGTCATTGATTTTAAATATATTTTTATGAGAAAAAAGTTAAATAGAGTTCAAAATATGAATTTTCTGCAAAAATTAAAAATTTTAAATTAGATTTTAAAGATTTAATAATTGAATTAATTTAAATTAATTTTTAGGAATACATTTTTGGATTAATATTATGATTATTGCTAATATTGCTGCCAAATTCATATTAAAATTTATTTTTCTTTAAAGTTTCTCAAGTTTCGATATGTAATCATTTTAATTGTTAATCTTAGAAGCCAGATGATTTGAAAGTATTATAATTACTTAAAATTATCAAATAAGAGACTTTAGAACAATTTAGACATGCAAAAAATTTAACAATAAAAACTAATTTCCATAGTCTATCATGTTCTTTCAACTTAAAATCTAACTTTATAAAATATTTTACTTGATTAAATAATCAGATTTAGTTTAAAATTTATTCTTATATAGATTTCATAAATAAAAAGATGACAGATTCAAATATATTTCATTACTCATCAAAATTATGAGGAGTCTAATTCAATATCTATTTTTAGGTGTACTTAAACATTAGCGACAAGTAGTAAGACCTTTAATACACCTATTTAAAACAATTTTAACTTTCCTCCATGATTTCAATCCTAAAGATATCATTCTAAATTGATTAAGTTTTATATATTAAGAACAAGCAAGTTAATATACTATCAACAACTAATTACATTTAATGAGATTCATCAAAAGGACACTTATAATATATTTGAGCATTACTCTATTTGTTACAAATCAAAAAGAAGAAATATCATTTCGATAAACTATTAATCAAATGGATTAAACTGAAAATATTTCAAAGTAAATTAACTTTTATAATCATTCTTCTTGATAATTGATCAACCAACTAGCAGCAGAGAAAATCTTTTCTTTAGGATTTCAAAAACTTAAACGAGATTCATTTCCTTTAAATTTATCCCTTCAATTTGAATTAAATGAAATTCATTGATACTATATATTTTTTCATCTTTTACTCTCTCTATTTCAATATAAAATAACAAATAAAATATATATTTATTAGATTTCTCAATTTTTTTATTTCTAAGTGCCACTCCTTTTGATTTTTTGTCTGGTTAAACATTAGCTTTATTTGAAGATGTACCAATACCATTAAAGCACTAGCAATACTTTTGTCCATACATCTTAGGATCATTCTGCAAATTTTCCGCTATTTTATATCTTATGAATTACAAAAATTAATAATTAAGCTAATAAAGATAATAATTTTCTTGCTATACTGAAGATCCTGAGAGCTAAACAAGTCCAGGACCATTTGAATGATCAATACAATTTTTAATTACTACTTATCTTAGTATTTTTATAAAAGTAATTTTTATAATAATAAAATTAAGATATACAACATTTAAGTTAATATGAAAATTTAAATTGATATTTTCATACTTATATTCTTAAATAGAATTAAAGAATATTAGAATGTTAGAATGTGATAGAATTTCTAGACACTGAAAATAAAACTTGAACAATGCATATTATTCTGATAAATGTTCATTTATTTGCAACTGTGAAGATATTTATAGCTGACGATGTTTTTGGCTATCTCATCTCCAATATATAGTTCTTGATCTTCAGATAAAATTAAATACTACTTCTAATTAAAGGGCCCAATAAACCAAAGATTAAAAAACCTATCTAATAAAATGCCAATTAAATTTTACCATCGCCATCCAATTTATTTTAAAAATCAGAACAATAAAATAGACTTAGTAATGTAAATATAATTATCGGAGCCTCTAATAAATATATTACAAAAAGATCCAAGCTTGATGATTAAAATCTTATTAATGTAATGAATAATAAATAGCCAAATAAGATTACAGCGAGCAAAGTACATTGATATAAAGAATTGTATTACATTCCTTCTAAAACAATAAGGAATAAAAATTTTTTGAGCAGAACAATGCCTTCATATTATTCACTCCTTAGTTCAGCTATCACAACTTTCTAATTTTGCTTTCTAAAGTGTTATATCAATAAAAAAAATAATAACACAATGTACCCAAAACAAATACAATTTGAGAACAAAGATCTATAACCTGATTATGTATTCGAAACTATATATAAAATAACTTTAAAAAGCAAATCCCAATTGTTAGCATAAAATAATTGAAGTAATCCTTTTTTTGTGTAAAGATTACTTAACTGTAAAAATTTTTTATTAATGTTATACAATTTTATGATTAGTGATTCAATAGCTGTTGATTTTGCTAATCTAACATAGTCAATTTGTTTGATGGAAAAGCATTTATGAAAGAAGAATTTTCTATAAACAATAAGAAATATGAATAGCCAAAAAAATAGGATTATTTATGTAATTAATCCATAAATATTCGTTAGTAAGTCTGCATTAAGTTGATATTGTTAAAATTTTCCAATGCTGTCCAGATGTTCATATCCAAATAAATTATTAAAAAGGTCAAAAATATTCAATTTGACTAAAACAGGTGTTAATGTTACAAAATCAGAGGATTCAAAATAAATTTAAATATTTTAGGGGAATTCTATATTTATAAACCGCAAATATGATTAAAATTAGAGAATATCGAAAATTGCCAGGCTTGATTAGGGATCCCCTAAGAGCAACATCAAAACACTGTTACATCCTAAGCCAATCATTATATAATTTCCCATCTTTGAGAATTTATTTGCAATCTCAATTTGAGAATTAGATAATATTATTGCTGTTTTGAGTTTTAGTTCTTATGAGGTCAAAGCTAAATTAAAATCATACTCATCTACAATACCATCCTAAATACTTATAACCAAGATTGGTGGTATAGATGTAGAAGTTAAAATTTTGATATTCAATTAATAAACTGGGTCATTCGATTTTTGTTTGTCTATTTGAGTTATCGGAGTAATAAATATTTTAGTTTCGACCCCTTTTATTTCAGTTAAGATTGCTTAAGTGAAATTTGAGAAAGCTCCCATCCACTTAACTTTTTAACTAAAAGTTAAATTTACATATTGATTATCATAAGTTTTGTTGAGGAATGTAAGAAAAAATTAAGTATTACGATAGCATTTATTCGGTATTTCTTCGTTACATTACCAACTATCTTCAACTTAACACGATTATGAACATCCATCATAACTGTAATCATTTCCATCATCACACCCTTCATTTTATTGCCTTATTGTATCTCCACATATTTATTATTATTCATCACCTTTTTCATCTTCTACTTATCCTGATTTGATTAATAAACATTTTTAATTTTCATCCACTTAATACCCTTTTTGACATTCAATGCAATTTCCCTTATCACATTTATCACATTTCTCTTCACATTAAAACTAACATTAATAACACCCATCAAATGGGGTCTAATTTTTATCATCACATTCTTCTAATAAAGGAACCACAAATCCATCACCACAAATAGGCATACATTTACTCTTAATCTCTTCAAAATAAACTAAACATTGAGAACAAAAGTCCTTAGAAGCACATATAAGGCAATTCTCATCACATTCAAATCTGCATTCATAACATCCATCATTAGGCTCATAGTTACCATCATCACATTATTCAGAGGATAGTTTTGCAACTTTATTATCCCCACATTAAGGATAGCATCTGTGATCCAAAAGTTTCCAGCCATCTTGACATTCATAACAGTAAGCTTGTATACAGATTTAGCATTCTAGCTAGCAACTCTCTTAACATTTGTAACAACCATCAAATTGAATTTTATTGTTATCATCGCAAATCTCATCCAATAATTTGATCCCATCATTACAATAAGGTATACATTTCTATTTGTTAAAACTCAATTAATAAAAGAGCTAGCATTTCAAGCATTAATCGAATAATTATTTATCACAATTTTAAATTTAGAGGTTGTTTTAAATGTGGAATCCAAATATTGCAAGCTCTTTTAGGTTGCAAATCTGAACAATTCCAATAGTTTATTAAGATTATCTTAAATTCAAAAAGTTATCATAATAACTTTAATCAATAAAATTAATAAAATAAGGATCAAAACTACTTTCTTTAAGTTTATATTCATTCAAGTTTGTTGGATCAAAGATGCAATCACTTTTCATCTATATTATTGATTGCTAATATTCTAAGCATTAACCAAATTAACACTTTAAACAATCTTAAGAACATTCAAATTTAAAAAGTTGACAACCATCAATAGGAATAAAATTCCCAATATCGCATTTTTCATATTAAAGAATTATTGAATCCCCCCATAAAGGAACACAATTTTTTATTTAAATTATATATTCCCATCCCTCTTAACATTAAAAGCAGATCCCCTTTATGCAATTACTACATCCATAAATACAACTTAACTGAGAAGTAAAAAATTCATCAAATGAATTAATATTTGAATAAGTATCTAAATCAGGCTTAATAAATAATTAAAAGTCTCTTATTCCAAACCTTACCCTGCTATCATAATAATTTGATAAAACTACTTCTATTTTAATTGTTAAAACATTATTCGTATGCTCTTATTAAAAAATATTTATTTGACCTAAGATTAAAATTTTACCGCAGCCATCATCTATGTAAGTTGGTACTTAGAGATTCAATTCAGAAGTGGATATTATATTGTCATCTATTTCAACATTAACTTTAGTATTGATAGCATAAAAAATTGCCACCTTTAATTAGAAACTGACTGCAAAATGATTTCCTAAAATGAAAGATTTTGTAAGATAATCACCAGGAGAATATTGGCTATCAAACCCTATTAATTCATTTATTTAAATACATACCACACCAATTACTATTGATATCTGTTATTTAATTACCACTATGATACCATCCTTACAAATTTTGAATAGTAAACAACCTCTTATTAAATAGCTCCAAAAATAACACTTAGTTAAAACAATAATATAAATTGCAGGAACCACACCCAAAAGGACATTTTAGAACATATTGTCTAAATTCAGAAATACCCCACCATCCACCATTTAAAGTTGTCATTAAAATTATTGATGAAGTACTAAAATGATCCACTATTAAATCAAATTAAATCACTGAATCATAATCATTAGATCCACAAATATTTGATGAACTATCTATGTCAGAGTATATATATTTATGAACTAGGGTATTATCAACATATATGGTAAATTGATCATTTAAATCCCATTAGTCAATCCTATATAGATAATATATTACACAACCTCCAAAATTTAAATCTGATACCAATTTAATAATGTGGAGGCAGCAGCTCAAATGTTTTAAAAATCTATGTATGATAATCAAATCCATTATAACCGCCAAAAATAGCTGATCCTCCACAATATGTCTTCTAACAACTATCAACATTCCAACAATACCAACCTTACAATTATTATTTTTGATTTACCTTCATCAGAAACAATAGGACCTACAAAATCTTCATCAATAAGTTAGATTTCTGCAAAACACGCATTCAAGATCAAGTAGATTACAAAAATAGGTTAGAAACTGTTAGATTTTACACACATTATTTCTAATAAAAGTAAAATAATAAATATTAATTATTCAGATTAATTTAACTTTAGTATAAAAAAGCTGATAATTCATAATAGAAAATAAATAAGAATAAGAATTAACATTTTAAGAGAAAGTAAGTGGTTATTTATGATTAGAAGAAATTAAAATATACATATTCAGCTAATAATTTAAAATTATTGCTAAATTACAGGATTAAATTAAGTGATTATTAAATTTAATTATGAGCGATGATTTAATGGTGCAATACGATGTATTATAAATTTGTATTATATACAGAAAATTTTCTTTTTATATAAAATTACTATTTAATATTTCTTATAAATTATTCATTGCTATATTATTTAGCAATTTAAATCTTCAAGATGATATTCAATTATGTAGAAGAGTTCTGAGCTAATTTGTTAGGAGGTCTTATATGTTAAGCTGATTTCATTATTTCAGGTCACAAATCTAATTATCTCTCTGCTTTCATTGTAAATCNAACAATAATATAAATTGCAGGAACCACACCCAAAAGGACATTTTAGAACATATTGTCTAAATTCAGAAATACCCCACCATCCACCATTTAAAGTTGTCATTAAAATTATTGATGAAGTACTAAAATGATCCACTATTAAATCAAATTAAATCACTGAATCATAATCATTAGATCCACAAATATTTGATGAACTATCTATGTCAGAGTATATATATTTATGAACTAGGGTATTATCAACATATATGGTAAATTGATCATTTAAATCCCATTAGTCAATCCTATATAGATAATATATTACACAACCTCCAAAATTTAAATCTGATACCAATTTAATAATGTGGAGGCAGCAGCTCAAATGTTTTAAAAATCTATGTATGATAATCAAATCCATTATAACCGCCAAAAATAGCTGATCCTCCACAATATGTCTTCTAACAACTATCAAGATTCCAACAATACCAACCTTACAATTATTATTTTTGATTTACCTTCATCAGAAACAATAGGACCTACAAAATCTTCATCAATAAGTTAGATTTCTGCAAAACACGCATTCAAGATCAAGTAGATTACAAAAATAGGTTAGAAACTGTTAGATTTTACACACATTATTTCTAATAAAAGTAAAATAATAAATATTAATTATTCAGATTAATTTAACTTTAGTATAAAAAAGCTGATAATTCATAATAGAAAATAAATAAGAATAAGAATTAACATTTTAAGAGAAAGTAAGTGGTTATTTATGATTAGAAGAAATTAAAATATACATATTCAGCTAATAATTTAAAATTATTGCTAAATTACAGGATTAAATTAAGTGATTATTAAATTTAATTATGAGCGATGATTTAATGGTGCAATACGATGTATTATAAATTTGTATTATATACAGAAAATTTTCTTTTTATATAAAATTACTATTTAATATTTCTTATAAATTATTCATTGCTATATTATTTAGCAATTTAAATCTTCAAGATGATATTCAATTATGTAGAAGAGTTCTGAGCTAATTTGTTAGGAGGTCTTATATGTTAAGCTGATTTCATTATTTCAGGTCACAAATCTAATTATCTCTCTGCTTTCATTGTAAATCATCTAAAAATATAGCAAAACAAATGGAATACCAAGAGAAAAATTAAACTCTTAACTTTAATTTATTAATGCAATTTTTATTATAGCGGTTTACAAAAATAAATAGGCCATTTTAATAAATTAATTTATTATTATAATTAATGACATGATTTAAAAAAAAATTAATTTTTAGGATAGATTTTTAATAATAATATTAAAATTTTATTAGAAAGAGACTTAAACTATAAAAATAAAGATGATGATTTTTTGTAAATAGAGTTTTATCATTTTACTTATTATTCTATTTTTAATTATTTCTAATTAAATTATATTAATATGGTTTTTTGCAAATAGCAATAATAAACTTATTAGAAGAGAATGCTGATAAAAATAATTTTCAAAAAAGTACTCAAAGTATTTTGTTTTTTCTAGTCTACATAATAGTAATAGGAAAGAAATCAATAATAAGATGGGAGCACTGCTATTGCAAAATTTGAATTAAATTTTGTTCTACCTTTAATTTTCATTATTCTTTTATATTTTTTGTATGATTACAGTGTTAAATTAAGTCGTTTCTCCATTCTAGATTAGCTTGCAATAACTATAACCCATTGAAAAATTGAGTAAATAAATAATTGTTTGAATAAATCAATATATAAATAATATAACTCCATCCGAATTCTATTGATAATTAAATTGTATTGATAGAGAGTATTATGTCAATATCAAAAAAAATTTATCTATTCTTTTCCTTTGGAATTTAAGATATTATTTTAAAGACTTTAATTATTTTAGTAATAAGGTTTCATTATAAAAGAATAAAATATTTATTTATACAGCTATTTCTATTTGAAATTTATGTATGATTCACATTAAGAAGCAAATTTAAAATAATTATCATATAATAACATACAATTGTTAAATTAAAACTTAAAGAGGAGTATTAGAATTTAAATGATTTCAATTTTGGATTGCTTTCTTTAAAGTATATATTTCATAACTACTAAATGACTGAAGATTTTTCTAAAATTTTGAATTCTGGAGAAGGCTCTACAAAATTTTTTTTCTTTCATCATATAATACTTTTAATTAAATTTAATGAATAGAAAGAATTATAAATTGAATCACTATGTGTTATAAAATTTGCAGTCCCTTTCATTCTAAAACAATTTTATATATTAATTCTAAAAAAAATTAAAAAAAGAAAGCGAGAGGTTTTAATTAATCGTTTTGTATAATCTAAACATCAGTAAAATAGAAATCAACAGAAAATAATTTTTAAATCTATAGCAATTATTTAATAAGTTATTTTAGAAATTACTGTGATAAATTGAAATATATAAAAGGATTACTTATTAAAATTGCTTCTAACTCCAAACTTATTTATTTCCCAATCATAAAACATATCTTCTTTGTAAATTCTATTCTTGTTTTCAAATTTCTGAAGTCATTTAGCAGCATATGAAATCTACGAAAAAGTAAACATCCACTTCATTATTGCTTAATTATAGCTGATTAAAAATTGCTCTATATTTTCTGAGTTTCGGTATTCAATTTAATTGAAAATGTGGCAGCGAAAATAATTTTTCTACATTTCAATCATCTCTTTATTTTTTAAAATACTTCTTACTCTAGCATGCCTTACATTAGTTCATATCTATTTCAAGAGTGATTAGCAAAATTCCCAAATTATAAAATTGGTGTTTCTCTAACTTTATTCTGCAAGAAAACCATATTCTTTGGCATTATTTTTCATCTTTAAATTTTAGAGCATTAAAGTGGCTTTATCAATAATAAACTCTTAATTAGCATTATATAAGAGTTTCATCCTTTGAAATAATAAATGGTTAAGTACTTTGGCAGGCAATTAATGAAAAGGAATTAGCATAACAAAAGGTGAGTTTACCATTAGTATTTCCATCTTAAACCAGAGTAAGTTAAGAATGAAGAAAATTCATAAGCATTGTTTAGTTGTAAATGAATAAGAAAGGGCAAAAATAGATGAATTAGAGAAGCACCGAAGGATAAAAAACCAGACTAAAAATTTTAATTTAACAGATAGCCACCTTTGGTGAAATAAAAACATAAGAATAACCGACTCAAAAAAAATACCTACAGATTCAATATATAGAAGTGAAAAAGAAACATAAAACTCAAATTACAAAGCCTTTACCATAATAATCAAGTATGAAACATTTTTTTTGTTCGCTGAAACTAGTATATTTGATATAAAGTAATTTGAATGAAATTTGCATTTCCATTAGATTTTTTTTTTGCTAATTTAAAATTTGATTTTACCATTATACAATATAAAAATGAAGTATTGTTTTTGAAATAAGATTAAACCGCAAACTATTTTTTTCAAGGAAAAAATTTGTGACCAAAACCAATTCAGCATCATCATGAGTTATTATGAATCAAAATATCTCTATGTAAAGTATTTAATATTTTCTAAAATAATCAAAACTGAATGATTGAACATTGATCTTTATTATTCTATTTTGATTTTATGGAGATTCATATAGGTAATAAGATATAAATTATTTGGATTGATCTTTGTTCTACATTTTTATAATTTGAATAATATTTTTTTTTTCAATAGATTATAAACTTATAATTAATTAAAATTCTATTAAAATTACTTGTTGAGAAAAAGTAAATTAAAATAAATTTAATTAAATAAAATTTAGTTTTATTTATTTTTATAATAATTGATAATGATAGGATTATAAAATAATAATTTAAATATTTACAAATCTCAATAACATTAATAATTAAAAAAAACTATAAATAATTTTATTAATCAAAAAAATTGTAAAAAGTAAATTGATTTTATGAATTATCAAAATAATAATTAATATTGATATGTTAATTAAAAGATTGATTTATAATATTGAGATTATCCACGCAACTAATAATTGAATTATTCATGAATAATTATAAGGTTCATAAGACATTAATTGAACCAATTGATTGCAAATTACGAAGCATTGATGATAAATTAGTTGATACTATCTCCATTATTATAAATATAATACATAGATATTTCCTTTTAAAGTAAAGGATTTTTTTAAGTTAGCCAGATATATAGATCAAAAGCAATCCTTAAGGATTGATTTGATCTTGATTATTTGTGTCCTTTTGCTAATGGTAATTTTCCTGTCTGTTTTAATTTGATTTTTCAAATAAAATACTTATTATTTGAATCAATGAATTTAAAATTTATTTCAAATATATATTAGATCCCAAAAAAATTAATTTTGATTAATTAATCCCTTAAAATATTTTTACACTCTTAAATTTAGGTAAATTTAAAATTATCCTTAAGTTAAAAATAAAAAAAACTTTTGGAACTTTTTTTTTTCTCAAAAGAACCATATGTCTCAATCTGACAAAAACTAATTTAGTATCGAAAAGCTTTTGTAGAATATAGATTCAAAATATATAAAGAACTAATATAAAAAATAAAAAAATTCCACAACATTTCTATGAATCGGTTGTAAAATCCTCCAAACATCAAATTATTTCATTACTAATATAATGGTTAAAGGCAGTGATGATAATGGAAGGAAAAATATTAAGTCCTTTCTAAATAATAAAATGTTTAAATGTATTAAGAAATTTACTATTTATTTTCCATTCTGATATTTATGATTATTATTATTTAGCAAACTTTATTTTGAAAATAGCAGTAATTTTGCTGATAATAAATCAGCAAACCTACTTTTTTTATCCATTGATAAATTTCTTTAGCTAATCTATAGCAGAGAATTATGCATTGGAAATTAAAAACATTTCAAATAACATAAAATTAATCAAGGCTAATAACAATTTTAATTTTTGAAAAGAATAGGCTAAAAAATAAGTTTTTTTGG